GTGTTTCACGCATGGCTTATGAACATCAAGGAGCATGACTGAGTGTTCTGTATAACCCACTGCTCCTCTGGTCTTCCCAATGTCCCTATCTGAAGCTCCAGCAACACAAGTCACACAGACCTGTGCAAATGAGTTTGGAAAATCACACTGAAGCTAACATATGCACCGTTCTTTGCTACGTAAACATGGTGCCTGAATACTCAAATTAAGACGGTTGCCAAACTACTGAAAAGCCACGGGCTGCACAATTCCCCAACTGTAAAAGACAGCCTTGCCGTCTTCACACGCATAGTATTTAGCAGCCTTCACTAAAAAAAAACTCAAAACTTTACAGAATGAATTTAACCACAATGTCAAGCAATGTAATGGAGACAAACAGCTCAGCTGGTCAGTGCAAGCGATGTCCTACATTGGCGAGATGGGTCACCAGTTAATTAGAATATTGTGGGAGATGAACTAACAGTCGGCTTTCACACCTCTGTCGCAATCCTTCGCACCCCCCCATCCCAACCCCAGGCTACCGAGAACCACTTCACATCTCCATCATTTCAGGCTCGACTACCTTGAATGCTGTGCTAGCCTGAATGCCCAGCTCCTCCCTGCACAAACTGCAGACCATCCAGGACTCTGCAGCCCATGTACTCTCCCACCCCAGGGCCCCCACTAGCTACGCTTGCTCGGTTTCACTGCCTCTTCAGCTCCTAGTGGATTGAATTCAAAATCCTTATACTCACATTCAAACCCCTCTACAGCTTCTCACCACCCGACCTACTGTGACGCTACTACCCTTGAGCAATCCGTCCCCACATTGACCATCGAGCTTAAAGCTCTGGTATCCAACCTCCACCTTGTCCCCACCTCAACACCCATGTCTGTGACTGTGCTTTTGGCTACCTTTCTCCCCCGTCCCCAATAGCTCGGGCTGTCAGCCACTGTTGTTGAATTAAACTCACCTGTTTACAGGATCCGCTTTCACCAGAATGTAGGAAACCTGACTCAGGGGAAGAAAATGCAGTCACTACATTTTATAGTATATTCTGCAAGGATTTCCTGCAAGGATTAATGTGAGGATTACTGTTACTATTGTCAAACAAGTGCAAAACAAATGCCATTCATTTAAATAGTTTCTTTATAAAAGTTTCTTTTTTTAAAAAATCCGTACTAACAAATCAGAAAAAAGGGGAATAAAACAAAACTTGCTATATTTCAGAACATGCTGAAAATGACCAAGCATATAGATAAACAATCCTTTCTCCCTCCTCAATAGCAATGGCGAGGACCAAAGAATTCACGGCCAACAAATGCACCCAACTCAGGGTAGGTCAGGTTTTATTCTATGGGCATAAATGAGAATTTCACAATGAGTAAAGTGACTTGAGAATGCTCGAAAGACTAGATGGTTTTCAAAAACATTCCAGTGTTCCAGTGATATGTTACACTATGGCTTGCATACTGATTGTACAGGGTCTGTACATTTCTATTCACATGGGTTATCCTTAAACCACACATCCACTTGTGTTAAGTCTGTAATCCATCTGTAACATCGGCAAATAAATATTAACAACAAGAATAAACGACTGAAGAATTCCGAACGGAGCTGAGAATACATCAGTCCGGTGTAGATTGATAGAAAGTCTTGAATTGTTGTTAACCTAACAGGAACAGTAAATGGCTGATTGGGATTTTGGAGTTGCACGTGATTCGAGTACAAGTGAATGCTTCACAGTAGCCAGACGCTCTGGGAATGCTCGGAAAAGGGCTGCGCTGAGGTCACAGGGATCATTTGTGCCCACAGAATAAACAGAACACCTTTGTGGGAACAGTGAGCTCCTGATGCTCCATGAAACCATCGGTTTCTCCTCACCTCCAGGAAAGATAATGCAAACTCACATTTTTAAAGTGCTTTTAACACCATAAGTTTTGTATTAAATTAAAAAAAGATTGCAACAAGTGTCTTGAGCACCCGAGGCTTATGTGAATCCACAGAATGGTTGTTGAACCTTACCGGCCATCACATTCACACATTACACAACATAATAAAATACCAGACTGAATTTGCAGCTTCACACATTATTCCCAGCTGACGGCAGATCTTATTGCTCAGGTTGTAAGAAGGCGACTTAAACCAACAGGAACACAGAGGAAACAAAGTGAACTCTCAAGTATTAAAGCTTTGTAAAAAATAATTTATCTCTAAAAATACAACTTTATCAATACAGTGTCGCTTCGCCTGTACAAAGTAGTTAGGTTGTCCAAAATGTATCGCTAGATCTATTCCAGAGATAATAAAGAACTTAAAAGTTATAACATCGATCTCTTTTCAGTTTGTCACAGATTTGTGATGTAAACAATTTCAGCTACTAAATATTATCCATTTACTTACATGTACAGCACTTTGGACCTGAAGAATCTTGACAATATTCATCAGTGTCCTGTTCAGATACAACTAAGCCCACAGTTTTCAAACTTTAGACCACTTTAGAGAATGCAGTATTCTGTTCTGTAGCATTAACCAGTTGGTTAATTAACCATGGGCGGGCAGGTCTTCAGCCTCTGCCCCCCCCCCTGCCCCCCCACTTCATCCCACAGTCCCTCTGCCTTGCCCCATCCCTTGGCTCCTTCAAGACCCATCTCAAGACTGTCCTCTTTGACCGTGCCCTCGGTCACCCTCCTACCCCTACCCTCCCCACCCTCCTGATCTCAACCACCAGCTTGGACGCAGATCCCTGACTGTTCAGCGCCTTGGAATGTCCTCCTGACGTGAAAGGTGCTAAACAAATGTAATTTCTGGTTGTTGGTTTCAGATAAGGTGCGTGCAATACAGATCAATTTCCCCAATGGAGTCATCGGGCTACAGAGCCAGACAACAGTGGGATTTCACACAGTTTAGCTACAGCCTATTTTGGACACCTTTTCTGCCTTCCATTAAAGACTGAAGTGAGAGCGGAGATGAATCGATGATGTGGGATCGGCACTTTATGGACAGCACAAGGCAGAGTGCTTTGCTGATTTACTGCAGAGGATTGGGTGAATGAAAATGTTTCTTTGCAAAAGTTTTCCTTGCAGTGAAGCTGGGGTTGATCTGAAGTGAACCCAATTCTGTGTGAAAGCACAAGTTGAATTACAGCTTGGCTCTGTGGCTTGCTGATTAATGTTACCCAGGCCAAGTTACTCTATACGCAAGGGTGAGCTGCAGTGGGCAGCACAATAATAAATACAACACGAGAAACACATAGATCAGGAAGTCTCAGATTCAATGCCTGTTCTGTGCTCAATTGATTGACCTCAGCCAGGGATCTTAGTGCCCTGAGCTTGGAGAGAAAATAATCACAGCTTCTGTGGTTTAGTAGCTTGCTAACACCTGCTGTCTAGACTCGCACAAGAAGATTGGCCACTGGAGGAGAGTCAGCTATTTTGTTCAGACATTTACAGCAATTCAGGCCAATCAGTACAGAATGTACACTTTATCTGAATGTTCATTTGGGAAACTTGTACAATTCCAACCACCCCAAACTTGGAATGGAACAGATATTCAGGGGAGGTTTGAAGAAGGGTAGGTGAAAGATCATGCGAAGAAACAATGGCTTGCAGTGATTGGCACTGAGGCAGGACCAAGAGCCGATCCAGGTCAAAGTTCTTCACATCATTACTATGGATCCAAAGACAGATCCAAAGATGGTTTCTCTCTGACATTCTGAAGAGAGAGGAGATAGCAAAGCTCCTGGAGGAGTTGCTAGTAAGGGGTCACTTTGGATGAGATCATACACCATACAAGCATCACAACCAGTTGGGATAGAAGCTCTGCAGTGAACATCAGCACACAAAAGAACTTAGCAGTGAAAATCAACTTGCAGAGGCAGCCTCTGCTTGTCTGCAACCTATTGGGGTAAGGGATAAGTTACTGTCTCAGATATCACAGACTTGGTTGGGGTTTTAAACCAAAAGCACTGATGACAACTAGTGAACCCAATGTGTTTGACTCACTGCTGAAAGCGGTTGGAAGCTCAAACTCTGAAACTTAAGTCTGCCGATGGTAATACAGCTAATGTCCACAATGTCAAAGTCCATCACGATGTGTCTAAAGTCTAAAGCATGGGCCGAGGGCAGTCACTTGTGTAATGGGAAGATGGAAGTGTTGAGCAGTTAGGTATGGGGCATTGCAAGATGTCCACAACCATTTTCAAGTAAAAGGATTGTTTGAGCAGTTTAACCAGATGTCCCAGAAATCCTTAAAAAGGTACGTCAACGAGAAGAATCAGATGCAGAGGGACACCTTCATTCAGTAGAGACTGTTAAGAGTCCGCAGGGTGCAACGGGTCCAACTGCTTTATCAAGCTTATTACAAAAGATAACCCTGCCCAGGCAGGCAGGCCAGCCAAGCAGTGCCCAGTGCCAATGCCAGGTAGAACTAAACGTCTCCAGAGCATTGGAAACGCACATGGAGAGGGTTACGGATTAAGAGCACTGTCGGTCTTGTTCAGAGGAAGCAGGATTGCCAGCGCGCAAGGGATATGGAAAGTGGGATATTAAAAAGGGCGTTTATAAAAGAAACAGATTGCACTGGCACAAACGATGGGTCGAACAGCCTCCTCCTGTGTTAAACATTTCTATACTACAAAGTTCCAACACTGGTGGGTGTTGGTGACGAGATCGAATCTGCTCACAAAACATTCAGGGTAGGAAAATGAAACCAGTTTACTGGCAGTCTCCATGGGTGTGTACACATTTCCTGTATACAGGCACTTCACCATGAGTCAGCTCCTGCTAGAGAAAAGATGAGAGGCGGAGAGGGAATCAGATCTGCTTGTCTTTTGCTCACTGTAACCGCACAATACGGTAAAAAACTTTTCTCAGCAACGAAAACAATTTGGGTGGGGGAAAGGGGTACAAGTTTTATTTTAGTATGCGCAATCCTAGCCATACTTCATTAAGCTGGGAGAGTTTAACCCAAGATTAAAGACTGCCAAAGATGTGGTCAGTGATTTCGAAGGTGGGGGGGGAAGGGTGGGGGGGGGGGGGAAAGAGGGCAAAGAATCCCGTCAAATATCCTGGTAAATATGATCGTCATACTCTTGTGGACTGGCGCACAGGGAAAGCGAGCTGGACAGGAGACCGATATGCAATCCCAGAGATACGGAAGCGCGATTAGAGAATGAGTGTAAATTTTCACCCGACTACAGTGTTGCCTTTCATGTATTCCCCTCACGACCAACTCTATTGTTTCACCTGCTACACCTTCCACTTGTTATGCCAACAATTATGGTGAATCTCACTCTCTTCACCCAAGCAAAATCCGGTCCATTAATGCTCGCTTCTCGGCGCAGTGGCACTGCTCCAGTCTGAAGAGTCGCTCATTTCTTACAAACGTCTCTCATCATAGAAACCAAAACAATGTGGCATCTAGATCAGTGGGAATCAGCTGCGTTTCCATACAGTCCTCCCAATACACTGTAAATGTTCACTCTTGCTGCTCCTAGAGGCTCTTGATTCCATCGAAGCCGCAGAATTTCCAACGTTTTTCCAAACTCGCTCCAACTCCCGTCACTTCCTGGTGGAACATATGATGTAGGCGGGTCATGAGGGCTTCTATTTCATTAGGCGAGATCTAAACAGAGAGGGAGGGAGAGAGACACATACACAAGGCTTACACCACAGGCTCAAATCAATGTCCTGCCACTTGATGGCACAACATCACCTGCTTGTTCTCTATTACACGAATAACAAAAATAACTAAAGGCCTCCCTCTCTCCCATCCCCCACGCCCTGTCCCTTTACATCTATTTACTGATCACCACCAGGAAAATGTTACAGCTTCAAACAGCCGGGAATGTTTGTCACAAAACAGGAAGCAGAGTTTGAAAACAGGTCAACATCAACAAAGGAAACCACATCATTAAGCAAAACAGCAATGGAGCAACATGACGTACACAAAGGTTACGTCAAAGCAGCATGTTAATGGTAGTGATTAGAAGCAGAAGGATTTATACAGGAAGACATACACAATCTGAATCCTGACAGTACAGCTGCAGGACTTCAAGTACGACCTACTAGTTAGCTATAAAGCTAAACCTTTAATTTAAACAGTTTGAATGCTTCAGCCAGTCTCCATCATTTGTTTTATTGGACCTCTGTAAGAATACTGCTCTGCTGTTTGGCATTCTTATTTGAAGGAAAAATGTCCCTCTTTCCCTCCGCTTGTGCCAGGATTTATACAGGAAAAAAAAGGGCTGTAAAATCACTCTGGGAAGCGATCAAAATTGAGTCACCCCCCCCCCCAAATTGCTTTGGCCTTTTCATCATTATCAATGCAATCTGCATTCCATGAACTCGCCCTCAGTCTGCTCTTGTATCTCTCATCTATTTGTTCTTGTGCCATTTCTGCAATACTCCATCGCAGAGCATTTTTGAAATCGACTGTTATGTTGTCATTGATGTTCTGACCTCAATTCTACCGGGTGATTTATTAAGATTAATTTTTTTTACAGCTTTTTAGGTAGTTATACGTGCAGGGTGCCGTTTTATTGTGCACTTAGTGCACATTTCAGCTCCCACCATAGGTTGCAGCACTTGCTTGTAAATCCCTTCCCTCACCGAGTACACTTTGGTTGGGGTTCAGAAATTCAAAGCATTTCGAAACGTTTTGACATTTGGAAAGGTATTAGATAATGAGGAAGAAGCTTTCAGGAAATATTTGATAAAAACACAGGAGCCTAGAAGAAGAAAGTCAAATCTGAACTCCACCAAGCTACACACTAGCCACCATGAGACTGTATGAACAAAAACTACTCTTCAATCAAATGAGATTCAATTAAAAGCAACAAAACCAGGAAAGAAATATCTACAGTCTGAAATTAGGCTCTAAGTTTTAACATAGCGTCTATAGGTGGTCAGAAATGTTAAAGAATGGGGATTGATCAGGGAGTGCTGAAATAGTCACATCAAGACTTCCAGTCTGGATGTAAACTGATTGAACTTGAATCGTGCTTCAAACCAGTGCAACTTGCACACAAACCCACAGAAACAGCCACAGGCAGCGCTGTTCACTGTAAACAAGAGGATCTGGCGAGCTTTAGCTTTAAATAAGCAATGAGGAGCTTGTCTAACTAACATTATATATCACAAAGCAGGCAGCATAAGCAATATTTCCAGATTACCTTGGCATCCAGTCGCTGGAGATAAGAACATATATACTCTATGCTGGCCCCAAACGGGTGGACATGGAGAAACGTAGAAATTATACCTGCAAGCAAAGAGGCATCCTAAATTCAAGTTATAGATACAAAACACCAGTCTTTCTTTATACTATACTGCAGAAAATAAAGAGACAATAACACCACTCTCATCATTTAAAACCATATAAAGGATATAATAATCCTTGCATTTAATATAGCGCCTTATCATGTCTTCAAAACGTCGCAAAGCGCTTCACAGAATATATTGTAAAGTGAATTGACTGTAGATTTTGTAGGAGAAACGAGGCAGCCAATTGCGCGCAGTGTCCCACAAACAGTTGAGTGACCAAATTATTTTTGTTTTTAAGCGATTATTACCCCTGGAAAAGCAATCTGACAATCGACTAACAATCAGGTTCCAACTTACTGCTAGGTAAACCCAAGGCGTGTGGGTTAATGAAACTTGCCCAACATTTCGCCGTGCCTGGGAATTGAACCCAGGTCCTCTTGCTTGCGTGGCAAGCTCTCTAACTACTAAGCTACAGGACTCCACGAATGAGGTAATATGAATGAGGTAATCCACTTTGACAGAGGGATACAGCACAGCACTACACTTCTATCCCAAATAAAAAACATTAAGGAAGAAGTTCCTATCTTGTGAATACAAAATGAACGTTATTTCAATTCAATGACCAATTTCTGCTGTCCAACTAGCACGACTGAGTACTGTACTCAAATATCTAAGCAGTCTATGAAACAAATACTGACATGGGACTTGAACCCACACTTTACTGATTCAACAAGAACAACATACACTTAAATAGCACCCTCCACGACGTGAAAGGCGCTATATAAACTTAATTTTGTTGTTGTCGTCCATGCAAGGTAGCGTCTCGGAGCGCTTAACAGTGGCAGAGCCTGTCTCTGTGCCGGAGGGAGGGGGTGGGGGCCGTAAGCACGGTCGAAGAAGAAGGTCTTCAGGTGGGACTTGAAAAATGGGAGAGGGGGCAAGGCAAATTCAGAGACAAATGTGCTACCAACCGAGCCAAGCTGACATCTATTATATTAATAATGCTGAGAAGATACACAGTGGAGCCTCCTTATCATAGAATCATACAGCACAGGAGGCCATTCGGCCCATCGTATCGGTGCTGGCTTTTTGAAAAGAGCTATCCAAATCAATCCCACTCCCTGCGCTCTCCCCATAGCCCTGCAAACATGTCCTCCCCAAATAATTATCTAGCAAACTTGTTCTCCACAACTAATTATTTATATAAATCAGGTTAGAAAGGTTATAAATATATTAGCTGTATTTCGCTATTTGTGCGAGGTTATATGTTTACTTGCTTTTCAAACGAGATTCATACCAGATTCAGTGGGAAAAATGTCCAACACTGCTTTAAATCTGAACTGTGAAATCATCTCTTCACGTGAATTTCATTTGCAGCTAATCTGCTGTTACTTGAAAACCTCTCTGCTGACCGCTCAAGATGTCAATCATCTGAATTCAGTTGACAACATAACATGCTACAGGTGACGAGTAAAAACATATTTTGAAGAGTGCGGGTCAGAAAAAAGCATAGCATTCGTGCATTTGTACGGGTAGCAGTGTGGGAAAACTAAAATGCTTATTAAGTGCTTGTTAACCTTTCCAAATCCCTGTGCTACAAAGGAAGCAGTAAACAGAAACAAAAGTCTGAGGTGATTATTGGTCTCTGATACTAACTTGAGCTCACAGCTTCGTTGCCTTTGGCAACTCCTTGCGCTCATTACTCAAAGGCGCAGTGGAAAATATTCAATTGGAAAGAAATGCTTTTCTCGCTTGTTACGTATCTTACCCACAAGCAGTGCTTCCCTCTCAGACCGGACAGGTCCTGTGACACTCTTGTCCAACTCGCCTTCCTTGTCTTGGGTGGAAGCCAATGTCCTTCCTCCCGTTGCTGTGTTGCTCTGTGAGAGGGAGAAGTGCAGAGGTCACTCAACACTGAATAGCTGCAGCTAAAATCAGTACCCATTTTCTGCTTTTAGATCCATCTCATATTTCCTAACCACTGTGGTGCTGCGTTACTGAAAAGCAACACCACCAAAATAAGTAATCCTTGCATTTAATATCGCGCCTCCTCACGTCTTTGAAAATTCTCAAATTGCTTCAAAGAATATACTGTAAAGTGAATTAACTGTATATTTGCGGACAAAACGCAGCAGCCAATTGCGCACAGCAGCGTTCCGCAAACAGTTGTGGGTTGAAATGACCAATTTATTATTGTGTTTTTTTTTCTCTTGAGGGATTATTATCAGGCGGGTGGAGCAAGGAAACTTGCCCTGCCGGGAATCGAATCCAGGTCGCTCGCTTGCAAGACGAGTTCTCTAACCACTGAGCTACAGGACTCAAAAACAGAGCAGTAAAAACAGTCCGAACGTTTCACTAATAATACCACAAGAGGGATGGGTCGAGGGTTAAAGCTCGTCTTGTCCAGCTTAAATGTTCTAGTTTGAAAAAGTTTATTCGCAATGGTCCAAAGCAAGCCTGCCGGCCTGAGGAGGGATTGTCAGCAAGTGGCCTAGCATTGGATTTCCTGTTATTGTTTGGAACGAACATTTTGCATTGGAATGAACTGAAATGGATTTGTGTATTTACAGTAAAACTCTCGCTGCACTGACAGAATGGGAGTGGGGGGAGGGAGGAGAGGGGAGGGGGTGGGGGTGGGATCCCTTGCTTTTTATTTACACACAAAGTGTTATGGAGAAAACAGCTGACCCTCAAGCAGTGTGCAGAAGTTCACAGTTGAAGCTAAATCATCCTGGGGTAATGCCAATATCACTATCAAGGTTAATTACAATCCCTGGTTTCAAACAAACTCCTCCAGACCAGTCCCATCGGTGTCAAGACATCTGATGAATGGTCAATCCCAAAAGATTAATTCATCTCTCTCTTTCTCTTTTAGATCAATGCTCAGTGCTTTGAGAGGTCCCTCCTGACATGAAAGGCACAATATAAATGTAAACCGTATCCTGTTATAAATATTTGTATTTGATACAGTGCCTATAATGTCAAGATTGTCTCCAAGCGCTGCACAAAGTTTCTGTAACATAAAGTGCAGGGACTTTGCATTTGCAGAGCAGTGGTTCGGAGACTGAAGCTGTGGATGCTGATTAATGTGTTGTGATGTTCAGCATTTTATGTTCTTATGAAACAGCAACTGAACATTCCCAAAATAGATCCAGCACAAAATGACGTTAGAAGCCGATTAAATGTACCAAGACCGGCATAGAGGGCTCGGATGAAATCTATTTGAACCATTTTTCATCCTATCAAACCTTACCATCTTTCCATTACAACATCCAGCTATTTTTAAACAGTGTTCTTTCTCTCCTCTGCGACTCAGAGAACTGTTTAGCACAATCAGAAAGATCAGCTTCTACAGTGAATTGCTCCTGAAATGAATAGACTTAATGTGGTCAAGTACATCATTGCTATAGCCAAGTATTACCTTGCACATTAGACCAAAATTTCACTTACGTTTTCCTGGTTCTCGCTTTCTTTGGACCCATCATCTTTATCTGCATTCTCCTGCTTGAGGAAATTTAAGAACAACTTAAAGTTACAATCAGCAACTGATGAGACTGATATGTTCCTCCAATGAATCTAATTCTATGTAGATTGACAATGAATTCAGGATTTCTTGATAGATATCTCTCATATACAGTGTCTGGTTGTGGATATAGCTTGAGAATTTATGCAAGCAATCAAATACTGTAGTTTCGATCACAGCAATTTTTAAGCTCCTTAAAAGTGTGTTTCCATTTGAGAGTCTCCTGGAAGCAGGTGGTTCATATGCTGCATGGGTAGAATAACAGCTAATTATAGGAAATCAAATTGATTCGCGAAACACCCAGAGATTTGCAAAGAAATAGAATATTTCTCAATGGGAAGACAGTAAATTAGGAAATGGCATAAAAACAGCAGTCGCTGGGAACGCTCAGCAGGTCAGGCAGCATCTATGGATCGAGAAAAGTGAGTTAACATTTCAGGTCGATGACCTTTCGTCAGACGAGTGTTCCCAGCGACTTCTGCTTTTATTTCAGATTTCCAGCACCTGCAATAATAATAATAATAATAATCCTTGCATTTGAAATTGCGCACAGCAATGTCCCACAAACAGTCATAGATTGAAAATGACACTTGCAAAGCGAGTGCTCTAACCACTGAACTACTGTGCTCAGAGAGGTCTGTTGGAAACAACAGTAACATACCTTATGAAATAAGACTTGATAGCAAAATTCAGGAGGCTTTCTACTCAAACATAAAAGGGCTAATCGTGGTTGTCAACAATAACAACAAATTACACGTGTTTAGCGTCTTTCACGTGAGGAGGATGTCCCAAGGCACTGAACAGTCAGGGATCTGCATCCGAGCTGATGGTTGGGATCAGGAGGGATGGAGGGCGGGGAGGGTAGGGATAGGAAGGTGACCAAAGGCACGGTCGAAGAGGAGGGTCTTGAGACAGGAGGGGACAAGACGGAGGGACTGCGGGATGGAGTTACAGAGGGTGGGGGCAGAGAGGCTGAAGGCCTGCCTGCAGATGATCCAATGTAAACATCATGGTATTTTTTTAAAATCAATTATTAAAAAGTAGATGAAGAAAACGAAAAAATATTTTTAATTGGAACCTGTTGGTTAGAATGATTCCCCTGAACAGGGACTGCAGCTCTTTTGCACTTAAATCTAAGACTGCAATCTGATGTAGTGCTTCACTGCCTCAAGAATGTCCCAAAGTGCTTCAGAGTTTTTTGAGTAAAGTGCAATGATTGTAATTATAGGCAAATTTGTACCCAGCAGAATCCCACAGAGCCATGAAGTGATGACAAGTGATTGTAATTTGCTTAATGGCTCTGTGTGGGCTAGTGACGAGGGACAAGGCCAGTGGGATTCAGTGACAAACTTTGCTTTTCCACAGTGTTAAGAGTTGAATTGATCAGTTGGGTGTGACTGGGCTTGTATTACTTCTCCCTATATGATGAATCCTAATAGAAAAAGATACCCTTGTAATTGTGTTCCTGTTGTAAATATTGTGTTCTGCATTAAGTAGCGATGCATTCCTCCCATTCATTAGAAGATGTGTACATCCAATTCAGACAATCCTGGGATTTGATCATTCGCTGCTCACTGCAGTTTCTTTACACAGTACTCAGAGCGCTCAGTGGAACAACTAGGAGAGGGTCAAGTTAATGACCAGGAGCTTCGAGATGCTGACCCTCGTGAAGGGCGTTATATAAGTACAAGTTGTTGTTATTGAATGATGGTTTAAGAACCCGTTATCAATCTGACCCATTTTCTCAGAAAGCTGAGTTTGTGTTTGTAAATACATTTGCAGGATAAGCCTTAATTGCTACAAATTGATGCTCACCCCACTGCTGAACAGAGCACAATTGATAACATCTGCTTGCTATTATTTTCAGAAGAAGCAATAAATGTCAAAAGCCCCAAGGATTTAAGGCAATGGCATAAAACCTGTGCTAAATAAATGCCCTCCACCGCAGGAGTTGTTTATTTGCTGTGTGAGACGTTCACAGCTACTGTGCCACTTGTTTGGTATTTGAAAAGAAATGGCCCAGAAAGTGGCCAGAGCTCGGAAGAAATTTGTAAGGAAAGACTGAGGTTGAGAAAAAATAATTTTCTAAAAGATTCTTTTAAACGTTGCTGCCTGCCAGATGGATTGCACTCGCCCTTTCTGGCCCTGTACATTCCTACACAGTGAAATTCTCACAAGAAGGAAATGCACAGTGCACCAATGTCCCTGGAAACAACGTGGTGCTCATTTCCGAACCCATTACTTAACAGCAATGCAAAATGTGTTTCACAGCACTGCATTTGGGAGTTCTTGGTACAATATAGCGGGGGAAGAAATGAGAGGATCAAGTCCCGATAACAATGACGAAAGAGGTGTCTTCCAGTATCTGGGCACTGACGATTTTCAGGCAGTTGTATGATGCGTTTATCATTCACGAACGATCAAAATAGTATTTTAGCTTCTTCAAATGATTCTGGGGCTTCGAGTGTATAAATGACCCACACAACAGGACGGTTCGAGTTTCAATGTACAGCTGTTGTTCGATGGCGACACCATTAGGGACCGGGGGGGGGGGGGGGGGGGGGGGGGGGGGGGGGAGAGAGTGGGAGAAGGCAAGAGAAAAGCTACCTGTTCCTAATCACCCGAGTGACTCCCTGAGGAAATATCACGTGAGGAGAGGACCAGAACTAACTGTAAATCTCCATGTGGCTTTGTGCTATGTGCTCACTACCACTTAAAATAGAATGACTCTGTCAGGACTCCTCTTTCTTGCGACTCCAAAAATCAATCAAAGAAAAAGGCGACCCTTATCTTCTTTATCTAAACGACATTCATTCTGACTCTGGCAGCAAAAAGGCCGAGTTTAAAAATCTTTAAACATTCATTATTTGTTGACTCAACTGCATGGAGTTCCTCCTTATTCGGCAAGGAGTCAGGCAATGAATCAAGCTGCAGAGTTATATGCACAGAAATAAGATACTTTGCCACTAAGTACCATTTATCCTCTCAATTATTATTTGATGGATAGGAGCCAGTCTGATAATTTCTTCACATACTTGTGTCTACATCAAGAAACAACCAACCCAATAATGCTCTTATGATCAATGAAACACGTTAAATCATTCTGCTGAGGACACTGGCACCTGTTTAGTTTGTCGTCGAGAGAAAGCTAATTTTCCAGGTCTAGACAGTCTGAAAAATGTCGAGGTGGCTTTCAAATCACTTCAGACAATGTGAAAGCTGCTCTCAGGAAAGCTACTCAAACATGGAACAGCATCTCAAGGGCTTTTGATGAAAAGTTGAAAGGTTTATTCTAACCTTGTGTATTTAGTGAGAGAGAGAAAAAATAGAGATCCCTGGTGAGCCCACATCTGGAATTCTGTACATACAATTGTAAGGTATCCCATTATCAACAGAAAAAGGGCTCCTCATCACCTGGCACTGTGTAACATTATACTCCAATCCCACAACTTTAACACTGCAAACCAGCACAGTTTTGGCTCGTGTTTGCTGATCTTTCAGTACTGAGTCTGATGACACTTGTAGTCATATCCACACACACAAAAAAAAGAAAATTTTTGAACGTAGATTGTTTTTAAAATCCTTTTCTAAACTGAAAAAGCCTCACGTTAACACAGGTCTGTTTTACTTGCAGTCTGTTCCACTGGTTTGCAGTTCTTGACTTCACAATTGAAGATATTAAACGTGACATGAACAACTTAGAAAATAAATCAGAATGAATTAAAAAAGTGGCCAGTTCCTCCTCTTTTTTTNGGTTCAGTTGGGTAAGGTCCGCTCACACATCAGCGAATGACAGTTTGAATCAGTTTTGGGCAAGTTTTGAGGGAAATAATCCCTCAAAAAAACAGTAAGCATTTTGCCACTCAATCCACGGCTGTTTGTGGGACGCTGCTGTGCGCAATTGGCTGTCGTGTTTCTCCCACAAAATATACAGTCAATTGACTTTACAGTATATTCTGTGAAGCGCTTTGAGACGTCTCGAAGATTTGATGAGGTGCTTTATCAAACGCAAGGATTATTATTATAATAACCAACGTCATAGTAAGTGACAAGTCCCGCAGAACACGTAGCTTGGAGTGAGCAGAAGCAGACACTACCATCAGTGGCAGGAGGGTCAAGAATGAAGGAACAGCAGCAAGAAAACCCAAAGGCCCAACATTCTTTCGTGGTTATTTTTAAGATGATCGTAAGGTGGCCCAGGTTTGGGGAAAATTGTCAAATTCAGTCTCAACCCGAAAGCCAGATTTTAAGTACGGCAGAAAAACGCTTTCAAAATTAAGAGTGAATTCTCGAAAATTCTGCACAATCTTAAATTTTCATGCAATGATTTTAAAGATCATCAGGGTTGGGGGTTCGGGGGGAAGAGTGCAAAGATCACAAGCTATAGCAGATGTCTTATTTTAGATTCTTTGTGGTAAATGATGCAATGAGCCTTGAAAACTAACCATGCTCAGCTTGATCACTTAAGGTAAAAACACAAGGCACTGAAGGATAATTCCTTCAACAGGTAATTCCATAACGGGCAGCACTGGAAGTTTACTGAGGAAAATCACACACACAAGACAGACTCAAGTACCTTTTCCTTTAATGCCTCCAACAACAGCTCAGTCTCCAGTTTCTCTTCCTTCACTTTTTGCAGTTCAGATTCTTTCTTTTTACATTCCTCTCGCAAATTCAGAAGTTGCTGACAATAAAGAGAAAAACATAAACGTCACCGACAAAAGCAACACTTCAGCCTTTCCCTGTTGTGTGTTCTCCAGTTTTTTTCCTTCTTGTTATATACAAGCAGAGGGTAAAGCAGATGACGTTAATGAATGCAATGATTATTCCACAAGACACAGCATAATTCACGAGTATGGGCCACAAGGGAGTTATTTGTTTTTTCCACTCCTGAATCATTAAGTGTTCAAAACTATAAAAACATCGCAGAAGTCAAGACAATTTGCTAAGTCTATACTACACAACATAAAAGATAATAATCCATGCATTTGATATCAGGTCTCATGTCGTTTAGAAGTCTCAAAACTTTTCACCAGGTTTACTGTAAAGTGGTGTGACTGTTTATTTTGTGGGTGAACATCCATCTCAGACAGTGTATTTAATCAGGAGCCAGCCTGGCTGTTTAAACTGCTTAATTAATAATAATAATCCTTGCTTTTTTATGTCGTCTTATCACTTCGTTGAGACGTTTCAAAGTGTTTCACAGAAAATATTGTAAAGTGGATTTTACTGGATATTTTATGGGCGAAACATGGCAGCCAATGGCGCACGGCAGTGTTCAGTGTACAACCCGAGTCCACTCAGTTGTGAGGAAGTGCTGAAACCCGTAAACTACAGGACTCCACTGATTGGAAGCCTGTGATGTTCTGAACTGCAACAACAGCCAGACAGCAAAAACTTCCACCACATGAACAGCAAAGTAGTTCTGGTCAGGTTATAATCCAATGTATATTTTCTACCATCTGGGGACATCTTGGATATAATACAGCGTCTTGTAGTGCAAGATCCTGAGAACAAAGTCTTGTGATGAGGTGTGGAGATACCCACCAGCACCTGCAGGTTTGCAGGCTACATCGCGTGCAAAATTTGTAGAATGAAAACTAATGGGGATAATGAGATCAATATGGCTTATGGCACAACCATTAGAGCAGTCGGCCAGAACATGAGAGGCAAAATATGGGAAGATAGCAGGAAATTTTATCCTGTTAGCTCTTAGGAAAATAATGGAGACTGACATCTAATGGAGACTGACATCTAATGGAGACTGACATCTAATGCAGGAAGACACCTTCTGGCCATTTTGGACAATACACAGCAACCTGGAAGTGATTGCACAAAGGTGATTGGTGTGACAGTTCTCAGACCTGCAACATACTGCGGCTAATACTGCCAGACTGGATGTAAACTAGTAAAGTCTTCCACTGTCCCAAGGAATTTGTATTAAAGTATGCTTCAAACCTGTAATGCAACTTTCATGCAGGTAACAACACTTCACACACTACTCCCTCCCCTCCCCTCACCCTGACCATTTCGCCTCTGCTCGGGTCCTGACCCAACTGTACAGCGCCTTGGGACGTCCTCCCAACGTGAAAGGCGCTCTATAAATGGAATCTTGTTGTTGTTTTTAATCTTATAATACAAACTTAATCCTACGTTAACACTGCCTCTTTTTCTGTGAAACAAACTTGTTCCAACCTACACATTGAAACCAAACTGCAGGCAGGTTTCCTGACAGTCTGAACCAATCACATCAGAATTTAGTTCCTGTATACAAAGCAGTGCTTTCTCACTCAATTTTGCTGCTGGGCAAAAGAGATTAATTTCATTACATGCGATTTTGTTTGGCAAATTAGAATTGAACACAAGCCGAGCTGACTCTGTACTGCAGAGACATGAGGAGGTTTCAGCTTTTATTTTTATTTTTTTTAAAAAAACGACAGGTCCACTTCAAACTATTAGCATCTGTAATAAGCTGTTGGGCTCCCTGCGCTGTGGAATTTGCTCGTTTATAACGTATGATCTGAACGTGTGCAGTTATTTGAAACGCATTCGCGCCTTTCCTTTCTGGCTGGCAAACAATCCCCGTGGACTGAGGAAGAAGGCCATGCGAGCCAGTGGAGTATGTGGGCAGACCGAGCAGAAATCAACGGCCTCGAAGCTTCCCCCAGCTAGAGATTTTATGACTGCCGGCAGTGACGTAAAGTAAATCATTTCTTTAGCAGGGTCTCAAGTTACCTTTTGAACACCGCTGTTAAAGTTAAGAGCTGCCGCTGGACGCAGTGCTGCCACATCAATCAATCAACAGTTAGAACCCCGTTCAAGCTGAGTGATGTGCAGAAAACTATGACACAAGCTGACCTCATAAACGTAATTTTTCCTCTCTACAGCAGGGGCATTCATGATGATAGACAAAGAGCTATGGTGGGGGCGGGGGGAGGAGGCGAAGATTATTTATTTTGTGAATATATTGTAGATGGCGGAGTCCTCAGGGGTTAGAGCACTCGTCTCGCAAGTGTGAAGACCTGGGTTCGATTGCCAGGTGGGGCGAAACATTGGGCAAGTTTCCTTACTCCATCTGCCTCTATTCACCTAAGTAGGAACCTAGTTGTCAGTCAATTGGCAGATTGCTCGTCCGGGGGTAATAATCCCTTCAAAAATAAATTAATAAAAATAATAATTTGGTCATTTAATCCATGATTGTTTGTGGGACAACTGCTGCTCACAATTGGTTGCAGCGTTTTGCCCACAAAATATGCAGTCAATTCACTTCACAGTATATTCTGTGAAGCACTTTGAGATGTCTCGAAGACCTGATAAGGCGCTATATCAAATGCAAGGATTATTATTATGGTTTGGAATCCCAGTCTGCAGATAAAACAAAAGATCGGTTTGAACAGTGTTTTTTCTGAATGAACCGTCAGTACCTGCTGCATCCCTTGCAATGTTTGTTGCAGTAGCTTTAGTTGTTGGTCCCTCGTTGTCTCTTCATCCGTGCGGTACAGCTTCCCCTGCTCCTGCTTCAGCAACTCCACCTCATTCCTGTAGGCATCAAGCTGCCAGCGGAGGCTGTCGTTCTCCTCTTTAAGTGCTTCTGCCTGGGCGGCCAGTGCTACATCAGTGACGAGAGAAAACAATGAGGGCAAAACAACAGGAAAACGAAAGACTTCTCTCCGGTATATAGAGATGAAGAAAAGTACTTAATTCTTTCTTTACTCAGTCAATGAAGGAAAACCGACACAGAGCTGACAGGAATATGCTAACATAATTCATTATACTTTTCTTTTAAGAGAGGAATACTTTGCATTGAAAATACCACAATCCACACTGACTGAACTTTAATCAGATATAAGCTATTACCACAGAACCACCAAGTCTTCCTCTATATATTTTGTATAACCTCGGACATAAATTTAAGGTAATTGGCAAAAGAACCAGAGGAGAGATGAAGACTTTTTTTTACACCACAGAGAGTTGTTATGGTCTATGATCAATGTACTGCCTGAAAGGGCGGTGGGTACAGATTCAATAACAACTTTCACAAGGGAATTGGATAGGTACTTGAAAACAAAAACATTTGCAAGTGTATGGGGAAGAGCGGGGGAGTGGGACTGATTGGGAAGCTCTTCCAAAGATCCGACACAGGCACAATGGGCCAAATGCCCTCCTTCTGTGATTCTATATTTATTATATATGTATCTGTTAAATGGTGAAATGAAACATGGCCTATAATTTGTTAACCAGGTTACAAGAGACAAAGACCTCAAGGGTACAATTAGGAAGGAATACAAAACAAAACCCAAAATGGGGGAAAGTTTTAGAGGATTTATTAGTTTGAAGCAGAACCATAATCTGGGCAGTCAAATTAAGAACATAAAGGACCCATGTCTGTTGGACCAAGAATATCTACTATGCCCGTGGAGTTAGTTCTGATGTTTCTTGCAATGCTGGTGATTACCACAAATATGCTCTTCCTCCTGAAAGACTGCTTTCTATTTGGTAACCATTCGAATCCCTCAATCTCACCCCTCATTCCTCCCATCTCCTCCAGACATATTCTCCTGCCTGTCGCAGTTAGTAGAGTTTGGTGTCCAGGATACAGTTTTGCCATATGTGCAGAGGTGCTCTTATTGTTGAATCGCAAGCTGATAGGTACTTTGCGGGCTCCTTTTTATTAATGGAATGAGTTGTATGTTTTGATACAAGTGTGCATTGCTGACTTCGATCACACGATTCTCTGTCTCCTCCCTGGGGATGATCAGTCGGTCACTTCTTGTGATAAGTTGCAAAATACTGTGACTGTGCCATTGTCTAACACTCTTAAATTCTCCTCACCATCTTCATGGTTTGGTGCTCCCAGTCTTTGTGAGACGTGTAAAGATTGTCATTTTATCACAAGCTCACTATGTAAGTGCACACTGTTACTGTTATTTCCTGTTTCGATTGCAAAGGAAGCTTGCGATTGAAAAATAAGAGCACTGCTGGACATATGGCCAAACTGTATCCTGGACGCCAAACTCTACTAACTACTGAAAAACCCTCACCCCCAACTTACAAAGAATTTGCTCAAATAAATATCTCCAGAAATAGCATTTGATACGAATTCTCATTCTGCTGGTAAATAACAGTCACCATAGCAATGGAAAGCTGCAATTACTTCAAATGTGTGCACGTTATGATTAGTTGTAAGTCACTTCGGAGCTGACAAAAGAAGTCATTTGAAAACCATATAGAACAATATAGAATAGACTGAAACCTTCTGGGAGGAAAGCAATTTTACAGCCATTAACCTTTTTGTAGACGGCTTTATTCATCAACAAGGTGCCCTTGTGTGTGATATACTTAAGAAAATAACTGCAGCAATGAGTGTCAGGACACTTCCGCATGCTGAAAGATGAATTGCTGAACATTAACCAAGACATCGTTCAGTTGAGCAGAAATCGCAGAGTGAGAAGCAATTAAGTTGTTTCAGGATGTAAGTGCAATCAGAGCAGTGATGTACATGCCTGCACTTAATGCCCAGTCATCCGTTAACACACAGCTTCCAGTCAGTATTACTGGGTCCTTCAGACACAAATATTTCACTAACTCTGGCCAATCGCCAATAACTGTGGGTAAAATGTGCAATCAGTTCATAACGACCACTGCAGCTTTTGCCATTCATCAAAAATTCTTATTTGAAGTGTTTTTTTCAAAATTGGAAAATATTCACCAAATGTACCACCGACATTTGCCCTTCAAAATTGGCTTAGCTGGTTGGTGTCTTGTGCAGCACTAAATTGGTTGCCTTTACAATGCTCGCTATAAGATGTGATGGGAAATGAAAATGAATGGGTGAGGAATTCGGGCACAGAATGAGCAAAACTGCTTGTACCATGACAAAATGCATTGACACGATCAGGGTGTGAATGCAAGTTCAGGTTTGTATTCATTCTCTCGGAGCACAAAACCCTCACAAATCCAACAGCTGTTAATCACTGAGATGCAACTTTTTAATGAGCGTTTGCTTTTGCCATGCAGCTGTGACTTAATCCACTGGAATGGCTTTTTGACAAATGAGGCAGAAATTGTCCAAAGAATCTCGTTTTCTCCGCATTTCTGTAAGTGGAACCGCCAATTTTCTTCTTATGTGGTTCTGTCCCAGGAGAGGGGAGGAACACAATTGGCCATTTATGTTTGCTGCCAGAGTGAAGTCAGCTCATTGTAGCTTCCAGCAGGTACAGCATTATCTTCTGAAATGCTGCACAGATAGAAAAGTAATCCAAATACAAAAAACCTTCATTTTAAAATATAAAATAGTAGTGGACAGTTTGAGATCAATTTTCACCTCCACGTACTTTCACTTGATATGAGCTGATCTGGAGTAGACAAGTGGCACAGATGTCAAAATGTTGCATGGGCAGGAACGGTGCAATATCTCAGCGCTTCGGAAATGTCAGAAACCGACCCATATCTGAGCTTGTCTACAAATCGTTTGGGTACAACAGTCTCCATAACAGCCTTGAGCAGAAATAAGAACTTCTTTCAGTGTTTCTGACTCTCTGTGGCCAGCGGCTGAACGCAGTCGATCAATATATATATATTTGATATTAGGTAAGTAGCACAGCCAATTTGGATTGTCTCTTCCAAATGCTTGATTGTTGCATTAATTGCTGCCTTGCCAATAAAGATATTCTAAGATACTGTGAGCCAAGGCTCTTACTGCTCAGCAGCTGAAACATGTATGAACCTCTGCTCCCGATAATTATTTTTTAAAAAAAGAAAAAAATATATAACTAAAATTGTTAGCGTCTTGGCACTGCTTACCCGATTCATCTGTCATTCTATCCTCTGGCATTTCTTCCATGTCGTCGTCAGACATTTCCATTTCTTCTTCACGCCGAATGCCCATAAGCTCATCGTTGTGGACATTGCGGATTTCCTGAGGAGGCAGACAGAGACTTTTGATTGATTCCGTAAAGGAAATCTCCACAAGTACGAAGCAGAACTGCTGTTTACACCACGGATGAACGTGAACCTGTCGCTTCCCTCTGTGCGATTTCACTGCTATGTTGAGAAGTTGGCACGAGAAGAAAGGGGACATTTATCAAAAAGTTTGCAACTTTGGGAAACCATTTCAGCAATGTGGCCTTCTTGTGCGACTCAAAAACTTTGAGCGTGGATGGATCCATGAGCTATTTGTGGGTTTCACCACGTTACATTTTATTCCCCAGAAAGCTGGCTTTAAAACCAGAAATACTCTCCTAACCCACCACATATCTTGTCTGCAAGGCTTGTGGGTTACCCCTTCCTGTGTTGCTCTGTTACCAGTCATTGGGAGTAAAGGCCTGGAAGCAACCAAGAGTGACTCTCCCTTTTAGGGAACTTTCTGAACACTGGTGGCTCCCAGATTGGTGCTGCCGAGATTGATAATAACCGATTGATAATAACTGCATGGGGATTTGTTTGACACAGGGGCTCTCCCTATAACCAGATCCACACATCTCTGCAATAAACATGCAATGAGCGAATTGTTTCTCATCAAAAAATGGATTGCAATCCAAAGTTTTTAGCCTAAGCTACTGATCATTATTCAACTGTCTCAGGCTTGCATTAGCAGCATCGAAGTTGTATTTTACATGTGGAACAAGGTTTCAAAAATGACAACAACAACAAAATAACATTTATAGAGCACCTTTCATGTCGGGAGGATGTCCCAAAGTGCTGAGATTACATGGACAACTGGATTACGTCAAAGTAAAACAGGGCAAACACAACAATCCTATTACATATATCAAGAATTCCCAGAAACACAATGAGATTTCCTTTAAAATAATTGCTTCCTTCCTGATTTTAAAATTGTACCTACCTCTATTTTTTTTTTTAAATGTTACAGAATCAGAAGATTTACATGAGATGGAGGCTATTTAGCCATTGTGCTGTGTCTGTGCTTAAGCTTTTCTCCCCAGTACATCTACCCTAATACAATTCCCTTGCTCTTTCATCCCTTCCCAAACCTTTTATATTATTTGTCCTCAAAAATGTGTGTGCAATTTATTTTGAGCGCTGTTATGGACATAACTTGAACCAGCCTTTTTTGGGAAAATATCCCATATTCTAACATTGGGGTAAAATAAACTTGCTGTAATCTCTTCACTTCTTCTGATGACAATCCTATATTGAGCATGAATAAGAACACAACACAGAAAATAGACGTAATGCACAGCAGTCCAATCTGAAAGAAACAAAGAGACAGGTTATGTTTCGGGTGTGAGCCTTTATCAGACCAGGAATGATGGAGTTGGAGGAGCCCATTTATGAGATTAAAGGGAACAAGTAAGATTTTTTAAGGTGATTTTAAAAAATTTAAATTTAAAACCTCTAACTATAGAGACTTTAGGCAGAGAGTGAATGGGTCATTGCACTATGAAATGGCTGAAAAAGACATTGAAAGGATGGACAAGATACAATTGTTTTGGACAGGAGTCAGTCAGGCATGAGAACAGATGACAGAAATAAAGAATGAGTCTCGTACAGCTCTGCGGAAATAAGTATGTAGAAAAATAACATACCTGCGGGGATGGGATAGGTGAAAGAGGAGAAAGGCTTGAAGTTGTTAAATTGAAAGTTCAGGCCCTTGGGTGGAGGAACTCCAAGCAGGTTGTGCTCCTAACTTTGCACTGAGCTTGTCTGGAGCAGTCTAAGTAACCCCCAAAACATAAACCTTTCTTTCGCTTTCAGATAATGCACCAAAGTGCAGTGCAGTATCACCATTTTCTGTGCTTACGTCCAGTGTTTGTGCCTATTATTTTTTCTGCCGGTTAGAATACATAAAGTACAACAAAAAAGACTTGTTACCTTGAAGTATTATCTGTGAGTAAGGGACATTTGCCAACCTCAGCAACCTGGAATGCGCTGGAAGCAAATTCAATAGTAGCTTTCAAAAGAGAATTGGATAGGTACTTGAAAAGAAAGAAATTTTCAGGGCTATGGGGTAAGAGCAGGGGAGTGGGATTAGCTGAATAGCTCTTTCAAAGTGCCGACACAGGCACGATGGGACAAATGGTCTCCTTCTGTGCTGTACGATTCTATGATCTCCATGAACTAACAGGTTTAAAACTATTTTAACAGATAAAACCCTAGTTTATGTACCACATAAAAAGTACAACTTCTGAATGAGATGTGTGTTTGTGTGTGATACTCCATGTTAATCATTTGCTCAATCTTACTCCTTTATCCCCAAAGAGTGCAAACAATTTTGTTTTGTCCCCCTCTTCTCATTTAACTATCCAACATACTTAAACCTCATGAGAGGGGTGAGTGGGCAAGAGTACAAGGAGCATTACCCACATCTTCCAGCAACAGCAAGGAGACAGGTAGTCAGTTTGCCACATAATCCTCCTGCCTACAAACTAAGCAGATCCTACTTTTTCCTAAAGGTGCAGATCAATCACTGGTGGTGGAAATGTTATTGAAAAGAGCTTACCTTTGGTGCCAGGGTCTTTTGAGAGGAACACAAGGCGAAAGCTCCAGTATTGGTGGAAATGAAGCAAACCTCGTTTAAAAGTAATCTTGTCAGTTCTACGCAGCGCAAACTCTAATTTGATCTTAAAAATCACTCAACTCAATTTTTTTTTAAATTGCGCACCTCCAACAAAATTTAAGACGAAAAATGCACATTTAATGGCATCAAATAGCAAATTTACAGCAGTTTGAGAAATTGGTTAACAGGAAAGAGGAACTGCTTTTGTTTGGTCAATTAATGCCAAATGAGTGGTCAGTGGAGAAAAGCAAAGGCGATGATGGATAGTTGAGGGTGTATTGGAATTGCGAGACTGAAAGAGTTTACGGAGAAGAATGACAAGATTCTCTTTTTAAAGGACAGGTGGGTATTCTTCCATGAGTAAACTGACAAAGAATGCCTATTTGAGTGCATACTGTACCATTACCAGTCACTTAACTGTTCATCTGTCTCATAAATAGTCCAAAGTAACTTACCTCAAGTGATTACAAATTCTCCTGAAAACATTGCAGAGCCCATTTTTAATTCAAACTGACCGCATTTTTAAATCAGGTAACTTAGTATTGGACTTACATTTTGTACATGTAGGTTTCTCCAGAGAAATATTTTTGCAAAGAAAACTGAAACAAAAGGGGTTAGACTTTCACCTCTTGGACCTAGGGAATCCAGGCCTTATTGATAGGGTGAATGTCTATGGGTCTGTGGAATTTAAGGTCCTAAGTGAATTGAGCAGCTTCAAACCAATTCCTAGTAAATATTCGCTCACAGCACAAAACATTGGCAAACTCCCTCACAAGGCTGAAAATAGGCCAGTGGACTTACTAGATCAGCGCAAAGGCACCCTGATGGGGCAAAATAAAAGTGCTTCACTCTGCAACTAATCACACTCTACCTGACCTATAGGCTGAAATTCCGGTCAGCATTTTGCATTGCGTCTTTGGCGATGCACAATTATAGTGGGAACAATCCTATAAGCAGCCAACATCAACAAGGGAAGGCTGACTGGAATTTAAGCGTCAATGAGTGCTTGATGTCTACTTTGGGTGAAAAGTATAAGAGTTTTCCATTCCCCATCAATTTGATGTTTAAAAAAAGAATACATTGAATGCCGAATTCACTCTAGTTAACATTCTTATTGGCATTTGGTTGAAGTTGTATATTCACTCGAAAACAAGCTGAGAGATATGAATAATTACTAACCTCTGCTTGGTTTCGCCACATATGCAGGTTCTTGCGCTGAGCTTTCGAGAAATGGTCCCACGCCTTTTGCTTGGAGGCAGAGTGGAAAACGGAGACAATCTGCTCAACTTTGGTGAATAAGGAAGTCAAACAACCAGTTTATGGTCCCACCAGGCATTTAGTAAGGAGCAGAGAAGTAAAAGAGGAAGGGAGTCAGGCAGGCAAGCAGGCTACCGTGGTCAGCGGTTAGTGCATTATTGTGGTCAGTGTAAAGTGACTCCTGATTTGTACTTACTTTGCATAATTTGAACTGTACCTTCCTCAGGTTCAAATGCCCACAGTTTTAAGTTATTAATTTATTTTCCAAACTTGAAACAAATTACATATCCAGTGAAAGAGAGAGAGAGAGAAAAAAAACAAACCTACACACTTGTTCTTTCAAGAGTTCCAGCTTCTGGAGATGTTTGAATTAATCCAGAGAAGATATTAATGGATCTTTGCGTAGAGATATCTTAGATAGAGCATTTTCAACTAGACCAAGTATGACAATAGAGGGGAGACGTTTAATAAAGTGTGTGTGTGGGGGGGGGGGGAATAGTGAAGGCTCCAATTAGAATCACTACTCATTAGTACATTGTGGATAATCTCAATAGTTTATGAACTTTACAGTTAAGACAAAAACACATTTGTACTTGCATTTTACTTTTGCCCTTCCCTTTAGTAAACACATCATCTCATCCACCCGAATTAGCACAAGTACTCCAATTAATTAAGACAGGCACCAGGGATGCTTCATTAAGTAAAGCCTCAAATAGGAAAACGTTGGGGAAGAAAGAAAGAGGCAAACCACATATGTTATTATTTCACCATGGGGGGGGGGGTGTGGAGGAGAAAGGTTGAATATGAGGTCAAATTGCTCAGAAAATGCCTTGAAACAAGTTGTACCTTGAGCTGAACCAAGGGCCACGGACAGAGACCACTAAAACAGATCTCTGCAACCTGTCACTACTGATTGCCACCTAGTTATTTGGCAATGGGAGGGTTTGGTAAGATAAGACATGGAAGATCTTACCTTTTCTCTTTTTTCCCCCCGAAATATTAAAACCATTGATTATCGCACAAAGGAGTAAAACACCCACTTTCTCATTTAGTACCAGCCTATGGTAACAACCCTTTGCTTCTAGGCAGCCGTGCCCCGTTAAATGGTTAGAAACAAGAACATGCAACATGTACTGACTAAATTAGCAGTTCTAAACAAAAGGCAAAAATCCTGCAGATTGCTGGAATTCTGAAATAAAAACAGAAGTTGCTGGGAGCACGCAGCAGGTCAGGCAGCATCTATGGAGAGAGGAAAGTGAGTTAACGTTTCTGGTCCAAGAACTGAAACGTTAACTCACTTTCCTCTCTCCATAGATGCTGCCTGACCTGCTGCGTGCTCCCAGTGACTTCTGTTTGAATTAGCAGCTCTGGTATTCTATGAGCTGAATAATACATTTGCAGCTATTTCTATGTAATGTTCCTAATAAGATGTAAATGTCTCAAGTGAGATTTGTGAGTGCCAAGCTTATGATGCAAGTGTTTTACCTGAATACTTCTGAGAAAAGGTTTGAGGGGCGACAGGTTAACTATTGGAGCTGTTTCAAAACATCTTACATTCGGAATGAAGCTTTTAAACTTCTTGATATCCTTACAATATTGAGGCATTTGCTGATTCATTCTCTTAGAGGGCCTGTCTCGTGGTGCTTTTTCAGTTCACAATTGGTAATGTTAGTTAAATTTCCATTTTATTCATTTCCTCCCTCGGTTTTCATATAATTTTGTGCCTGTCTGGCATTCTCTCTCCCACTATGTGCATTATTCAGCTGAGAGCAGAAAAGGTGACGCTTCATAAAGTCCCTCATGAGTTGGCACGGTTCAGCGCTGTAGACAGCAGTGGCCAAGAATAACATATTCCTTTTGCTCAACATAATACTGTGTTGCGTAGAGTCTGTGGGTGCACCTGAGGAACCCTGACACCATCTTTATGGCCCACTGAATCATTGCCAAACATAGACTCAATCATGTTATTGTTTTGAACAGAGCAGTTTTTCTGACTTGAGCCTAAACCTTCGTCCGAACCCCAAGCTGTGCTTTTTCTCATGAGCTCTCTATGTTGAGCATCAAGGGAGCCATAAAGACTTGGGAGAATTTCTATCGAGCAACGTACAATTCACACCTTTTATCTGCAGCCTTCAGAGCTCATTGGCAGAGACCTATGAACACACACATGATCTGGGCTGTAGTGCAAAATACAGCAGGGGCTTCAGAATGCAGACATTAACTTTGAAACTGGCTCTTGCTTTCTGTATCTTTTCAATTTGCGTAGAATCTTTTTTTTAAACATATATAACTGTATGTGGAGTGGGGAGGAGCGGATAGCAAAAGCTTGTGGAAATATCAGGAAGTGGGTGGTATGTCTGGAATTGCCACTGTGATGGTTTGGTTAAAGGAAGTAAAACAAGCACACAGATGGGCCTGCCATCTGGTTTGTCTTTTGCATCTAGGTCTTCTATGCAGTACGTGCATTACTGTGGGCATTTTACAATGTGTAATCACTGCCTTGATTATGCTTGGCTCCCTACGGAAAGGCTCAATAAATGTGAAAATGTCCTAAATATGGGCAATATACATCTGTATGAAAATGATAAAATATAGAAGCACAGTAGTACCTGTCACAGCAGTTTCAGGGGCATAGGCATTTTAAAAGAGATGCGGAGGTATAAGAGTAAAACTCACACTGAACCAGGATCCCTGAGAGAGCATTCTTAAACTTTTCTTTGGCTTCCTCCATCTCTTTCTCATGCACAACTTTTTCGTTCATCAGCCTTCGAATGTGGCTGTTTGCTGACTGGATCATGGAGTAGAAGATGTTGGCTGAGCGACGATTCACCTCCCCCCGTTCCAGCCACGTCAGCAGGATCTGAACAGCTTCGCCGAATTTTGAGTCGTCTGCGGGAAGATTTGAGATCGTCAGCAAGCGACACGGAAGAAAGCAGGTCTAACCTTGTCAAACACAAATGAGAATTTCTTGTGCTATGCAACCAGAGTGGCTCAACCAGCCACTCAATACAATAAAGGTAACATTCCTACCTTTCATGTGGTCCTCCTAGTTCTTTGAATGCGGTGTAAGTTCCACATACCTGAGGGTACACTTGATGTTGTGCATTCTTTAGGTCGGCGTGAGGTGGGGCGGAGAGAGGGGAAAGGAAAGAGGAGAGTAACAGGAAAAAGAGACCACTGGGGTTCTTTCCTGCAAGAGTTTAGGCCCTCTAATTCCTGTGATCTTTCCCCACCTCAATACAACATGGGAGGGGAGGGGGATAGCATTTCTCCAGCTTCTTTCACCCCAATCCCAGATACCTTTGCGAGTTACCAGTTCTAATCTTATAGATTAAACCATACATCAATATGGCTCAGTGGTAGCACTCTCGCCTCAGTCATAAGATTACGGGTTCAAGCCCCACATTGGAATTTGTAACTCACGTAGTCTAAACTGACACTCCAACGCAGTGTTGGCTAGGGATGTGCAGCATTGTTGGAGGTCCTGTTCTTTGGATGAGACTTTAAACCGAGGTGCCGTCTGCCTGTTCAGCTGGACATTAAAAGATCCCATGGCACTATTCGAAAAGAAAAAGGAGATTTCTCCTCGTGTCCTGACCAGCAATCCCCCAAATAAAATTGGTCACTCTCTCCAAGGCCGTTTGTGCCTCATTGCTGCACAAATTGGCTGTTGTCACTCCACTTTACAGTAAATCCTGTGAAGTGCTTTGGAATATCATCACAACATGAAAGGTGCAATACCAAATGTAAGGATTATAATTATTATTATAGCTAATTTAAAGAGGAGGGGGTGGCAAGCCAGGAGTTCACCCTTCATTGACACGATGTGTCCAAGCACTGCTCAAAAGAGAAGAAAAGCAATTTCTTCCTCCCCAACTCCGCAAATCAGAATGCCCTCCATTTCACCTCTGCCTTTCCTGTGGCAGATCTGCCCAATGCACTGAATTCATTTGTTTTAATTTAGATGGCAATTCTCCAGACAAGGCTGCAGCCATCTGGCCAGTATCTTGCCAGATATCTCTCTCTCGCTCACTCTCGAGCATATCTCATCTCCAATTAAGCTTTCTTGGCTATTAACTTTGGGTTATTATTCACGCTGACCTTATTACAGCAGATAATTTTGTTTCTGAAGCTCCACTGCCTCAGACTCTGAACTGAGACACCTGGGCTGCAAAAAACCTGTTTAAAAAATTACCAGGGAAATTTGAAGGGCCACGAGGCTTAATTCAGCCGAGAGTGACTTGTATATCTTTTTATTGATTGATTTCACCGGCCATGGAGTGGCGGCTGCTACACTGGGGTGTTCGGCTGCATAACATTGAGGCTGGGATGTGAAATATAAAGTAGACTAGAGCTGGGTGTACGAGCTCAAATCAATCAAGTTTCAAGTTAAGGCTTGTCCACGTCAAAACAATCACATCAATGACTATAATAACAGTGTTTGCTTCCTTTAGCACGCATGGACGTGATTTAAAATTATCCTTTAAGCATAGCAATTATTGAAAAAGCATATTTAAAACTCAACAGGTCAAAGTGATCAAATGTTTTGCAACTTCCTAATTCTACTTTCCAACATAACATAGTGCCAGAAATGCATAGAGAATTATTCATTTAAATCCTATTTGTTTTATTCAGAAAAGTGTCTATTTTGAACGGTGTTCAAGCACTCAAAAGGGGGAAAATAAATGATTCAATAGGAAACATATGAGCTACCTCGAAGCTTTTCACCCAGCACAGTACTTTCATGCTCTGAATAATGCACTATTGGTGGGGGAGAGGCTGGTCGCATTCTCTCTTCTTCCATCCTTCGGCGATGGCGTTCCTCTCTTGCGATCATTCGCTGCTTACATTCCCATTCATACAGGTCATCTCTGGCTTGAGCAAAGTCAACGTGGAGGCGACCTGTGTCCTTCTTGTCCGTGCTGGAGCCCAATCGAATTCTGTAACCTGTTGGGGCAACCCAATAAAAGTATACAGTACTCAAATGGTGATGTAGAAAAGGCACAAACACATCCGTGGTCCGTGATCGCTGTAAAATACGCTTTTAATCTCCCAAAAATTCTTGCCATCAACATTTCTTTTAAAAAAATGTAACCGTAGCTGTGACTTTTTAAATGAAAGTTTGTCTTTAAATAGTGAATGCTGATGGTATGGGCTTGGATGTATTACTGAGGCTGCCTGTGTAAAAGAGCTGAATTGACATAGACAACTGAATTGGCAAGATCACTGAAGCACTGGGGCTGAACGACTGAATCGATCAATTATAATTTGGATTCAGGCACTTCTCCAAACCTCCTCAAGGTCTTTAGTAATCGCCAAATGTTTAAAGAAAGACATGGTGAATAGAACAAAAAAATAGAAAAAATGCTTCTTAATTGTTATTCCAGTTCCGTTAATTGCCAGCTTCCCCGCTTTAAAGCGTTGTGAAAACTATTGTCGAGGTCACCATTATATAAATGCAAAACATTGAATGTGCCAGATAGGGGAACAAATACTTAGCTGCAGCACACGGGTAGTCCTAAAAACAATGATTAAGCAAACAATTCAAGCTACCTGACAAGAAGATAGCTTTGTCCACCATGTATTCATCTGAAAAACGAATGTGACAGAAGTTCTTCTTGCTTTTACGAATAGCTATAATTTCACCACATTGTCCAAAGACTTCAGTAATGATGTCTTCCGTGCCATTCTCTGGCAAGCCGCCAACAAAGACTGTTTTACATCCTGGAGGCCTATCTCGCGTGGCAGGAGGCGGAATATCTAAATAAAAACGTGAACAGTTAAAAATGCCGGAGATCGCATTTCACATGACAACAGTGTAGACCATCCCTCAAGTCGCTGTCATTGATTCCATTGCTTTGTAAGACGAGGCTACACTGTTCTAACTGATGAGCAAGGAGCACAACATCTTTAGACTGAAGGAGAAAGTACTGTATGTTCTCCATGGGAATTGAGACCTTAGATGCTGTACCAGGTTGAGTCAAATGTCAAATAAACATTCACTTCAGGATTCTGGAAACTGCGAGAAATGTTGCTGAGTTGTGAATTGCTACAAAACACCGACAGAACCCAGAATTTCTTTCGACTTCAATGTCAAAGTAATTCAGTGAAACGTGTTGCACAGAGCTGATTTGGTTGTGGCTTTGGTAGAATTTGAAGATTATTTAAATAGATATGAAATGTTGGCAATAATAATCCTTGCATTTTATAAAGCGCCTTATCATGTTTTCGAGACATCTCGAAGCACTTCACAGACTATATTGTAAAGTATATTTTGTGGGCAAGGTGCAACAAAACAACTCTGAGCTCCACTGAGAGCTCAGGTATCTATACTGAGCTCCCTATTTCAGACATAGGGCACTTTTATCTAAACTCAGATACATAAATGAGAACATTAGTGTTGACTTTGTGGTTTACATTTTACTGTTGTATTGCAGCAGCAGAGGGATTAAACAATACTTTCAAATATGGCTGAGCAACAGAAGAGGAAATAGCGATTTAGGGTAGGAAAGGACAGGTATTGGAAGAGGCAAGTAATTCAGAGGGTTATTAACAACTGGAACAGGTTACCAAGAAGGGTGCTTGAGGCCAGAAAGCTGGACTTAACTATGAAAAAGCCTAATCCTGTAATGGGAGAACGGTAACGTGGGCGTTTTGGAAGGATAAGATCAAACAGGCTGAAGGGCCTCCTTCATTTGATGTTGGGGAATGTACCCCACAGTATTAATAAAGCAATCAACAACAACTGCTAACTAACAAGAGGACATCATTTGCTCAAAGGTATTTACAGCATATTGCCCTGATAACATCGTGGGTAAAGGAACTGTCAGGAAAAGAACCAACCCATACAGACCAGACAGTTCAATCCTCAGTCTGTGCTGAATAGGTTTAATATTGCCAATAAGAAAAAATAACTAATCTAATCTTCAGACATAATACTTAATAACTCTAGAAAAAGCTAATCTAAGTGTGAGGTGGCACCTTCTATACTCAAATGTGTCCTTCTGGGAGAAAGGTCTATAAGAATATAGTTCAAATGGAACCTTCACTCTTGCCTTTTTTAGCCATGAGCTGGAGCCCAGGCTACTGCCATTCCAGTTGTGTGGCAGGCTATGAATGGCAAGTACTTGCAATCCTCAGTTCAGTGCCGGACAATGCAGTAGATTTCATTAATGTTTTATTAAAAGGGGAGGTTGGATTTTTTTTCAAAAACAGATGGTAGTTGGGATGTGGAATGCTCTGCCAGTAAACCGTAGTTGGTTATTTCAAAGGGAATTAAGAATAATAATCCTTGCATTTGATACAGTGCCTTATCACTTCATTGAGACATCTCAAAGCGCTTCACAGAATTTATTGTAAAGTGGATTGGCTGATTGACTAACTTGCGGGCAAAGTGCGGCAGCCAATTGGCACAGCATTGTCTCAAAAACAGTCGTGGATGAAGTGACCACATCTTTTGGGGGTGGGGGGGATTATTACCCCCAGCACACAGTGCTCTTAACCCTCAACATTTATTTCTTGGTCCATGTTTTGCGACTTTCCTCAGGAGTGAGCTGCCCAATCAATGCCTTGTTGGACACCATTTACGCTTGCAAATAATATGCAGTAGGAAACCGACTGAGACTGCCAGTGAACTCGGTTCAATTCTGACCTCGAACATCAATCAAAAAAAGGGTCATTCCTCTGACACATTTGAGCAGCTTTCAGATCCAAACCACTTGCCCAATTTCCAGTAGGAAAGGGCAAGACAGTGCCAATGTGAGCTGCGTCGCCTGGGAATCTTTAAATACTTCACAACCAATTACCACCAAAAGGCAATTTTGTAAATAAAATATTTTCCTACATTAAGAGAGAACATGGGAGGAGATTTTATAAGGATAACTACATCAAAACTACATTAAATAAGGATTTAACCCAATTGATTACCTGTGCTCACCACCACTCAATATTAGAAGTTTCTCTATATATTAACAATCTCCCTGGGTTGTCTGGTTGAATAATTCCCAGCTTTAGCTTTCTGTCACATGTTTGAGAAGATGCCAAATACCAGTGTAATTTGGTCAGGCCATTTGTCTCAACTTTGCAGGAAAAGTATGCCGTCAATTAAGTGCTGGCGATCTGACAGCACAGCAGTAGCTGGATCATGTGTTGTGCGATTCAGACAAGCAGTATTTTCAGCTTCCCTGCAGGACCAGCTGTGGTGTTCAAACAATGCCGACAAACCAAGCTCCAATCCCTTAAACACCCCTACGCATTAACTTAAATGAGATAATGATGCACACGATATCCTTTATAGTCTCCCTTTGAAGCTGCTTTTTTTTTTAATGAAACAGACTTGAAAGAAACTTGAACTTGTCACAGACCTCTGCTTTGGCTGAAAAAAACATTCCCTGAAATCTGCTCCAGCCTTTTTGCTTTGTATAACTAATGAATTGTTAGTTATGTTTGGCATGAAGCACTGAAAATATCTTCGGCTTTGGAGAACAGTGCAAAAATATGAATTTAAACAAGCTTTTCGCAACCTGTATTCATTTTCTTTGAGCTGGGGGTGGCATAGCAGCAGTCCTGTCCTTGTGAGGAATCACAGCATTGGGGGCATTGCATTTGTGAGTGTAGCCTATGTCAGGCATAGAGCAGTTCAGATGCCATGCACCTGCTGCTTACATCAGTCAGCACTGTGGGAAATCTAGGAGAGCTACGGGAAGCCAATTATTTCTGTAAGAAATCATCCCCTCCCTGCATGTGTAGCCTCATAGCACTAACAATTAGCCTACAAGAAAAAAAGTTCCACCCAAATTCAACTTTTATTCTGCTTCAACTTCACCGTTGTTGGGTATAAAGTTTCAAATTAAATCTCAAAGCAATCCCCCCCACTAACTTCTGAAGATGCAGAGTTTCCAAAAGTTGTAGAACTGATGTCTGCTCTGCATGTTTTTAAGAAAATAGCTTGACAAAGGTGAAGTTAACCTAATGCTTCACAAGGCAAGGCCTTTCATTTCATCAGTTTCACATCTCGGGTACCAAATGTATATTCCACTCCAGGCTTCCCATCTACCAGAGTCTGGGAGAAACAAAGGTCCCGTTCAAGGGAGCTATTGGATAAATATCTTAGATAAATACAGTATGCTTCTCTTCTTTTCAATGGTCTGAATCACACAGCCAGCCAGAAGGTTTCAAGAATCAAATAGAGAATAATGTAATGATTTTATATCCCTTCGCAGTTTGCTGCGTTAAATACAGATTTTGTTGTTGAACTTATGCTGAACTTCATAAAAGATTCACCTCGAGTCAACATGAAAATAAAACTCATCAACACGTACTGTCAGTGACTTACTTGGGTTCGGAGGGAAGAGTGTGCAGCTTTTACAGTGGATGATTTCCTTGACCACAGGCATTTCTTGGGAGATGCCAGGAGGGACGATGCCCAATCCAGGCATCATTGGATTAAGAGGTGCGATTCCAGGCATCATGCCAAGGCCTGGGTCGAACTCTGGAAAAGCCAGAAAGAAAGATTAGGAGGATTTCAAATGGTTTAACCTCTTCCACTTGGGCAGGACAAATGCACTTTTATAAGCTAAAGACCAAAGGCAGCACTGAGAGAAAAAAAAATCTGAAAATATACTGACCGTTTAAGTCTTTATAACCATATCTGCATCAAATGTTCAGACACAGACAGCAAAATAGACCCTCTGTTCATCCAGTTACATTTTCAAAGATATGAGCCAAATGTAAATCTGAGCATAGCAGCAGGCAGGAGGCAGTTGCATGGCCCCATCACACCACCAGTGACAGGTATACATTTCCCACTGTAGCGCCAGTAATAGAGGCTCATTCAAACCTCAATATCAAAGGCACGGACACATTTCATCCAGTGCTTCCAAAATGCAAAGACCAGGAAAACAAACATGGAACACCATCCAATTGTCAAGACACATAGATGCACACCTTTTCATTATCTGAACATATACAAATACAACAGTTAAAAGGTCACAAAAGCACAAACATACTGGGGAGCATACTCCCAGGGAAATAGAGGCATTGACACAAAGACCACAGACGTAAGCCACCAATAAATAACACTATTAAAGGCAAAACCGCGTACCACAAACCTACTAGGGAACATACCCGCAAATAGCCCACACAGATCGGATGACTCCACTGAGCTGCTTGGGTTTGGACACAGCCTTTCCTTGCTCCATCACTTGTGCAGCTAACACTGCCGCAAAAGGCAACTCTTGCAGTTGCTGTGGGTCTGACCCACAGCTGCCATTGAATGGATTTGAAACTCATTTTGGATGGGATTTTAACACACTCTTAAAATTACTCCCTGAGTGTTACTTCAAGTGGTGCTTGAAAATAAAATGCTTAAGAGACAAACCCTCTGGACGTGAGGCTTTGTTGCTTGGTCAGTGAAACCGTCTGGAAATTTGTCGAGGAACCACATCACCATGACCACCCGTTTCGTATGGCCCCTCAAAATACTGCTATTTGGAACCAAATGACTGACTTGTTGGCAGCAACCTTGGTTCAACAAAGTCAAAGTCAAATCTAATACTTTACGGTAAAAATATAACAATAATGCAATATTTTACATCACTCACAATCCTTAAATGCACTCTGCAGCATCGTCAGCGCAATACTTTGTTGGGAAAATTCAACCAAAAGCTTACTGCAGAACTGAAATTAATTCATACCATACATTGCGTTATAGTTCAATAAAACTCTTCGATGGCTATGAAAGCGATAGAATAAAATGAAATGTCTGACCTTGTGCAAGACCTACCAGAATGCTGGCAGCATCCAACAAACTGCTTTTGTTTGAGAGCAGGATTATTTTTCCCGTAATCATAATACGGTCCGTTCCACAAATTGTCAAACAAAACTGATGAGTTCAGCCAAGGTGATTATGGCAGCAGTACACTTGGATTTGGAAAGAGAGTTTAGTCCTATTTAGAAGATGATTATTTTTCCCACTTGCATTTGGAACAATATGAAATATGAAATCCAACTTGCATTATTGCTGAAGGGCCATTAATAATATATCCATTTGCTCCAGTAAATGGATTTAATGTTGAGGAATAGAGAATTCCAATTTCATGGCAAATCCATGCAGACAGGAATTTGGATACAGTTATCCATACTAGTCAGACCCTTAGTCAAAATACATTTACATTAAATAAGGAATGTCACTTAATGTAATTTCATTCAGCGTTGTGAATGGCCATTCAATTTTCCAGGTCAGTTTCTGGTTTCTTTTTACTAAGTTTCTTCAATTTGCAATTTCATTCGAAGAAACTTAGTAAAAAGGAACCAGAAACTTAAATACGAGACTCTAGCCATTTCCTCCTTGGCATTTCTTTTCAACTCAGTGGCTGATTTGCCAATTCTCCACGTCCCACAGGGAGCAATCTTATTGAACAACATAAATATGCAACTAATAAAATGTTCCAGGTAAGGGATGGTTGCCAAAAGCTTGAGTGAAATAGCATCAACATTTGTGGGGGCCAAAATAATTTCTAGGGTACAGAACTGAAGCTAAAGACTAACATTAGGCAGGCTATTCGAAATTCAAAACAAAACTATAAAAAGGGGCATGGAGTATCCCCAAAAAATTAAAGCAAGATTTTGGAGGAGATTTTCTACATTTAAACATTTTAAAAAGGAATTATATGCTTGGAAAGACAGTGAGGTAAACATCATCCCCCTTCTGTTAGCCCAGATGAGATCAGCAAATACAGCATGAACCAGGAACTGAATGTAAAGACTTTCTTGGTCTACAAGACAGCATATACCTGCTATTTTACCTTCTGTGCTATAGGGGAGAGAGGGATTACTAACATTTCCAAATTGGCTTCTTGTTTTGGAACGAACCATCAACAACATATTAGATCATTACTGTTGTAACGATGTATAACCGCATTTGGAAAAAGAAAACAACTTTGTCATCATGACTGCTGGGTACTCTGACATTTAAAAAGGTCAAACAGTCCTTCAATAATGCAGGAACAACCAGATCACAAGCCTGCCATATGACATTTCTTCTGATCTATAATGAACCGCTAAAAAAGACCATTTATTATTGATACATAAAGTAATTATCCAACGCAATTTCTCAGTTCTGGAAGCACACATATATGGATGATCAGTTTGTTTTCCTCAAAAATTTCCAAAATGCTCATTCTAGGAGCGTATTTATTTCATGTTAAATCAGAAAGCAGTGCCTTTGATTTTAATGTTCTTCTTTGGATTTTACCCCGAGGATTGAGCATTGGAGATAAGAAACAAGGTGAACTGCAGGTTTAGCAGAGGAGGATGGAGAGAATTAGAATAAAGCACAAAGGCTATAACAAGCCAAAGGATCCGGTTGCTAATTTGGCAGAGGCTATCTCCATGTTAGGATTTTCTTTTACCCGGGCTTTTTTTCCCCCCCTCTCCTGCGATTAAAACTTTCTGAAAATTGGAGCTAATGTCGCTGGTTTCAAATAGGTGCACTTTGTGGAGCTTACAACTAAACCTCCAGCATTTCCAAACCCCATTGTAAATATTTCTCGAATACATTTTCCCCTCGGATAGTAGAAGGGAAAAAGAGAAGTGAGGTGGCTGTGCTCACATAATGTAGATGATGATTCAGCATTTACTCATCCCCATGGTGACAGATGAGGGCTTTTGATCTGCATTATCTCTTGCTCCACACTTAAAAATCAAGATGACTTAATAGAAATTGTCACCAGAGAAAGGAACTTCTCGACCTGTTGCGATAATCGCTCAGCGTGTTGATTGGAATAATTGATTATTTTCCGGCATCTCCTTGAGGTGCAGCGGTGGCTTTCTGAATTATTTCTGCCAATGAATTCATGAATAAATAGTCAACCCTGCAGCTCGTGAACGTACTTCACCTGCGTGAGGGCAGCAAGAGCATTTCTGAACTAATCTCGAGATCACTGAGACTCTAAGATGTGGCTCCAGTGGAAACGCACAACTATGTTAATTTCATGAACGGTAAAGAACCCTAATAATGTCTTCCTCGTGAGAGAATTTAATCCAGCGATGGCTTGCTGCCAGTGAACGCTGAGCAACATTGAACAAGTAGCGAAATCAACAAAAATAACTGATGATTTAGAACAACAAAGGCTAGAAACCAATCCCCACTGATCCAGTCAAGACAGTCTGAGCGGTCTCAACAACTACTGCTCATTACGTGAGGCTCATGGTTCTAACAAGCAACAATTTGAATTTTGGACCCGGGCAACTTCTCTGGGACCGCAGGAAGCAAGAGTGATAACACACAACAGAGAAGTGCTGACAACCAGAAGCAAAATTGTGGAACGTTACCTGACATGAGCGGCTGTCCAGTTATTCCCATTGGTGCCATGCCCAGATTGTTCATGGCTGTGGCCCAGGCTGTTGGGTCCGACATGGACATTCCTAGTGGGCTGGAGTCCAAACCTAAGCTTCTGATACCATCTACATCAAACACAGAAGAGAAACAATATTGCAGTTCAGTGAGCGCAAACAGTACACCACAAACTAACTTTGGTGTCTCTCTGAGCAAAGTTAGGAACATATGCTATATCTATTTAAGAGCTACGGGATGTTACCCCACGTGAAGGGCGCTATATAAATGCAAGTTGTTGTTGCTATTTTCTTTTAAACATCCCGATCAATTCTTACCAGCAGCCTGGCGTGGCAGGGTAATCCATTCCATATTCTCACCACGCTTGGGTTTTAAATCTCGCTTCTAACCAGTTTGGAATCGGTTTCTTTTCAAAATGACATCCTATTGCTTTGGATTCCTCTGTCAAATGTCCCTATCTGGCTTATTGATTCGCTTCATTATTTTAAAAAACTGTTCAGTTAACAAGGAACATCTGTCCTGACCAGTTACAATGCAATGAAAAGCTACATATAAGTGAGTCTGCTCTTCTGAGTAGGTTGCAGATGGGAGTTGAATTAACAAAAATAAATAAAGGGAAAATAAGGTCCAGAAAGCATATTTCCCATCCACCCAAAGCCCACCCGTTTAGCAACACAGGACAGGATTACTACTCAGGTCATTCCAAATGGGAAAGATCCTTGTTTTACAAATCATTCCTGGGATAAGCTGCGTCCTACACTGAGAGTGAAAAGATCAGTGTAGGATTGTTACAGGAGCAGAAAGCACTGCTCCATTGGGTGTAGTTGGAGTGGGAACTTTGGACCGGTCTATCCACAGTTGGCCGACTCTGGGAAAGTTCAGAAGGTTTGTCCTGGTAATCAGCCAACAGTAAAAATTCTTGGGGTCAGATGGCTCCAGATCAGTTCTCAAGGCAGTCCCAATCTCCAGCTAAAATCAATGAAGCCACACTGAAATATGGTCAGCTCCCCCAAATATGCACTAGGGTGGGCAAATTTTTAACAAAAGTGTTCCCTCTAGGCCTTGTTTACCTATGAGTTTTTGCTTTTGTCAGCATAAGTACAGTAATGAAAACTATTTAAGTGAGCCCAGTTTTCTGTGGAGTAAACCCAGGTTGACCTGATGTTTGTCGCAAGAATGATGTTAAAGTCACAAAATTACCACCAATGCAAATGTCAACTCTGATCTGCTTCATCCCAGCTATCACGATTGCATAATACCAATACTATACCAAAGAATATGAAATAATAAGATGCAGATGGGGAGAGGGAGTAATAGCATAAAATGTAGAGTCAAGTCATCTAGGAATTATTTCTAATGTACAGCATGTAAAGGATAATGGATAGCTGCCAGCCTTTAACTCAATCAACCAATTTGCACGGGGTCATAAAATGTGGCAATGTTTGAGTTGGCTCAGGAAAATCATCAGCATAATCACAGTATTTAAAAGACAGAGTTAGATATTTGTTTATATAGGGTAATATTAAAACAGTCACGTTCATTCTACGGTGACTGCTTGATTGTACAAGTGATGGTACAATGTAAGTGAAAGGGTAAATTAGGAGCTGAAAGAAATACCAGCGCATATGTCAGCACCACAGCTCAATCATGCACAAGCCATGTGTTCACCTAGGCATGTGTGGAGACAGGTTAAGAAGTCGGACCAATAGGATACACTGACATCCTGCGAGATAGATGCAAGTTAAAGTCCGTTCTAAGATTAAGGTAATTACCCCCCTCTCTCAAGATTACGTTCAAATGAGAAACCCAACACAAGCATCTGTGACAGGACCCTGCATAGATATGTGTAGGTGAAAAGCAAATTGCAATGGTGTAATCCGTATTTACTGTGCTCTCAGCTGCACCATGTTAAATGAGGCTTCGCTCCCATCTACAAGATTAACATCAAAACCCAACTCAAGAGGCTGTTTGCCTGGAGGCAGTGTTAGCTCAGACACCGCTAGTACAGACGAGCACAGCAATCTTTCAGAGCCTTTTCCGCTCACGAGCAAGTACACATTCTCCCCCTTTCTGAAAGATACAGTGGCCAGAAATAAAGTTGTGAATCATAATTTGAAAACTGCATTTCGGCATCTACTGAATCCGCCCACAGCACAAACGGGTGGTTCCCACAGAACAAAAACCTTCGGGCAATAAATCCGCCATAATTCAAGCAACAGATGTACTTCATCATTTGTGCTGAGACCTCAAAGATTGGGGAAAAAAATCCAGCATTTTGCATATGTATGATAAAGACATCTGACTGGAATGAAATTTATCCATCTGGTTTGCGTTTGTTAATCAACATAATGCAAGCAGTGTGTTTCTTTTTAAAAATGAACTGCAAATGTTCCTGTATCATGGAGAGAATTGAGCTACATATAAATTTATCTGCTTCATACTCAGATAATAAAATAAACATTTCCAGCGACAGGCAGCTCTGGTGCTTGCCGATGACAATCTAAATTGGAACATTCCCTGCTGCCAACGCATCACCCGAACCATTAAAAATTCTTGATTATATTTTTTGACACACTTTCTGCTGCAACAATAAATGTCACATTTCTGAAATAACTACACTCCCCTCAAAGCACTTGGCTCAGTTGCTAACTCTCTCGCCTCTGGATCAGAAGGTTGTGAGTTCGAACCCCACATCAGGTCTTGTGCTGACAGTCAAGTCTGTGAATCCGATGCAGTGCTAAGGAGTGCTGTTTGAAATTTGCTGTGCACATAACAGCTGCCACGTCTGCGTACAAAAACAGTCACTAAATAGGCAATTACTGCAAAGAGTTTTCATGTATAAAGTGCAATCAAAATTAAACTTCCTTTTTTCGAAGCAGCAACATTTACAAGCGTATGCAGCTAATTTTAAGTATACACTGATATATCATCCAGACTTAAATCACCACTAATTAGAACATTCTATTCTGTCAATCTTTTAGGCCGTTTGGCATGCAGTAATTTTTAAACGGCATTAAACTCACACAGTTGTTGGTGCTGCTATTCTGTTGAGGAGATGCTTCTGTGGTACTGAATCATACAGACAAGGACCCACGGTTGATCCCTCGACTGTGTAAGTAGGTATGGATGTTGCAATTGACCTCAATGGACTTGGGTGTCATACCAAACACAGCTGAAACCTTTATCCACGCATTCGTCACCTCCCGTCTCGATTATTCCAATGCCCTCCTTGCTGGTATCCCCAGCTCCACCATTCATAAAATCGAACTAATTCAATACTCCGCTGCCCATATACTCACCTGCATCTGTCCCCCCAAATCACCACAGTCCTTGCCAAGTTCCACCGGTTCCCTGTGGTTAAACGGTTCAATTTCAAGATCTTCCAACTCGGGTACAAATCACTTCACGCTCTGGCATCTCTCTACCTCACCGGCCTGCTTACATCCTACAACACTACCCACCGCTTTCACTCAACTATGGAACTTTCTGCCTCAATTCCTCCAATTTGCCTCCTCCTTGGCCATCTTCAGATCACACCTGAATAACTTCCTATTCAACCATGCTGTCGGTCACTCCCCGGCTTGTTAAGTGCTCTGAGATGCTAGCCACGTGAGGGGCACTATATAAATAACGTGGGATAAGACATTAAATCAAGGTCCTGTCTGCCTGTTCAGTCTCTATCTGTGCTTTCAATTCACTTGCTGTAATTTTGGTTTTGGTCAGCCATGTTTATGAGTATCCAAACCAGACAAATTCCAGATATGCTTCGAAATTCACCCATATCTGAAATGGAATGCATGTCCGATTCCAGAAAGTATTAGACCACGTTGTAGAGCGCCAAGACTTGGGGTCCCCAAAGTGTGCGTTGGAGAACTGCTAGAGATTAACCAGCAAACATTTGTCTGGCAAATGTCTTGTTGCCAGGACCATCCTATCTATTAGGGCTTTGGCTTGGAGAGTTAGTAGGTGTCCAGGGACGAGAATCCCTGCCCATAGCAACTTATTTGTCTCTTCAAATCAAAGTGACATGAGTATCTCTCAAAAATTCAGTGTGTCCATACTCACATTTTCCCAATGGCAATACCGCAGCATTAAAAAGTACGCACATCTACAAAACACACCACTTATTTTTCGACTGCAATATTGACACGAAAAGCTTGCAGTACTTAAATAAAGATTTTTTTTTAAAAATGATGAAAAACCCGCAGTGCTGAGTAAACACAGGAGAAACCTTTTACAGCCTTTTCTAATGTATTCCACCTCCTCCGGTCCACAGGAATGCATTATCTGGCTTCTTGTGGAGCATCTTATCAGACCATTACGCACAGCAACCAATTATACCTTCACAGAGATTAGGAAATGTCAGTAGCTCAGTATCCAGCAGATTGTCATTTCAACCCCTGCAGTGAATGCTATGCTGATTGCTTCAATGATACTGGGAGTGTTTGTGCCTTCAGAGGGGATACAGCTGCACTTTAGTGCACATTGTGGGGGGGAATCATTGTATCACTCATTGCTAATTTGTAATCTGTTGCACCGCAGATTAGGAAATGGGATTCATCTGCCTTTCAAATGACAGGATTAAAAGAATCAGCAGTGTCCCTCCCTTCAGCAGCGCTCCGCTACGTGTCTCAAATTGCCACATCTCAAATTTGCTCCACTCTGTACCCATAACAGCTTTGAAGGGATCACTTGGTTAAAATTGATTTTAAAATGAACAAATGCAAACAGTAGGATATGCTTCCTAACAGTAAATGCCAAATAGAGACTTTAATCTGCACCGAGGTACCAAGGGGTCCCATTGTGTGCTGACTGCTAAAAATAGTGATCTTGTAGTCCTGTGGCTTAGTGGTTGGAGCACTCGCCTCGCAACGAGAGGAGCTGGATTTGATTCCCAAACAGGGCAAAACGTTGGCCAAGTTTCCTTATTCCACAAGCCTCTGTTTACCTAGCAGTAAGTAGGAACCCGTTAGTCAATTGGCAGATTGCTTTTCCGGGGATAATAATCCCTTGAAAACAATTTAAAAATTTGGTCATTCAATCCACGACTGTTTGTGGGACACTGCTGTGCGCAATTGGCTGCCGCGTTTCGCCCACAACATATACAGTC